TAGTACCTAAAGCACTTGACTGTTAACCAGAAGGCTGGCGGTTCAAACCCACCAGCCACTCCTCGGAAGGAAGATGGGGCAATCTACTTCTGTAGTGTTACTGCCTTGGAAACCCAAGGAGCGGTCGCTATGAGTCAGGTCCGACTCGACAGCAAACAACAACAACAGAGACCAGTTGCATTCCTTTGCTCCTGATTGCATCAGTCCAACCTCTGCTCCATTGTCAGATCCTGATTCTGACCCCCTTGCTTCACTCTAGATCACTTTTAATTATAATGGACCCAGCAGGATAGATCCTCAAGTTATTCATACCTACAAAGTCCCTTTTGCCATATGAGGTAATATTGTCACAGATTCCAGGGATTACGACGTTGAGGCCCGTTATTTTGTCTACTACAATGGGTATTCAGTTCTTACTGCCACTTACTTTCACCTCTGAAGAATCTGGCTAATCATTTAAACAAATTACAAATAAACATCTATCCTTTACTTGCCACACATCTACTGTCAGACTAACCAGAAACGGTCTTCATATAGCTAGTTGATATATGTCCAGATATTTTTGGGAAAAAAAAAATCCTCTGTGTGCTAAGAATTTCCAGCGCCAAAGCAAAATTCTCCAGGAAGAGGAAGAAAAAAATTGCAGACAGGAAAAAAAATTTAAACTATGCACTTTTTTTCCCTTTAAGTTAGAAGTTCTATCTTCCATTTTGCCCACCGTTAAGATATTTTTGTCCCTTCTCGTTCCCAGCTTTATTTCCAGTGAATTATTTAAGACAGTGATTCTGTGCCTTGAGGGCACAGAATACTTGAGGTTATAAGCCATGTGACAATCAGTAGACTATGATAAAAATGACTTCTCGTCCATCTGTTATTATACTAAATTTGGGTAAAATCAGTAAAGAAATGGTTTTTGAAATATAACACTGGTTTACACCACCAAAGATGGGGCAATCTACTTCCGTAGTGATACTGCCTCGGAAACCCAAGGAGGGGTCGCTATGAGTCGGGTCCAACTCGAGGGCACATAAAAACAACAACACCACACCACCAAAAACCAAAAATCCAAGCCCATTGCCATCCAGTGGGATCAGTCTCATAGCGACCTCTCTTTGGGTTTCCAAGGCGGTATCACTACGGAAGTCGATTGCCCAACCTTCCTTCCGAGGAGTGGCTGGAGGGTTTGAAGAGGTTAAAAATAAGTAGTGGTTAAGACGATGGGTTTTAACAACATGTAGCCCAATATGGAGTCTCAGCTGTGTAATTACTAGTGTACTGATGCTGGCAAGTTTCTCAATCAAGTCTGTAACCTGCTTTTCTCACGTAAGATTGTATGTGTTTTCTCTGTCGTCAGAAAACTTCATGCTTTTGTTTTGTTTTGTTTTAGTTTTGTTTTTTAATGCCTACTCAATGATATACCAAAAAACAAAAAGCACAGAATGGTTAAATGGCCTGCCTAAGGTTTTGAAGTGTCTTGGCGGCACTGCGGAGAGTAAAACTCAGGTTTCTTGTTTGTTAGCCCTATATTCTTTCCACTCAACCCCTCTGAGTAGATATTTCAGGCAACAGCATTCAGACACACATTTCCATGAACTTACCTGAGGTCAGTCACCTGGTCAACAATAGCATGAGTCAAGTGAATGGTGTTAAAAACCAGAGAATTCAAACAGTAGATTTGGCAAGATGAGTTTCTCTCTCCACATTTTTATCTCCCCTAGCCCATACCCCCTTTACCTCTTAGGGAGAGTGAGTATTTGGAAGAACAGTAGAGGGACAAAAAGTGAATTAGCATAACCATCTGCCAAAGAAGCACCATGAAAGTCAATACAAGAGAAAAATGTCTCTGTCTAGTAAATGCTCTTCTCTGAAAAAAATCTGTGGGCCCCAAATTCTCCTTAGCTGTAGACCTTGGCAGAGAGACCCAAGGAGTTCAACAGAGGAGTGAGAAAGCATTAAAAGAAAAGTGTATTTTAAGCAAAAAACCAAGTGTTTACTGCTCTTCCAACTCCTCTCCAACAATACCAATTAAGAATAAGTATGTATGAGAGGAAAGAAGCAATATAATGCTGGTTAACATTAGAGTAGCAAAAAAGAAAGGTAACCCACTGAGCGGAACTTGTTGCCGAAAGGTTGATCTGACTCATAGCAACCCTATAGGTATCTGTAAACCTGTAAATTAGAGTTTATGCCATAATTAAGTAGTGTCCCAAAATTTAGAAATCTGCCCATACATCCTTGTTGAACTAAACTTCTTCCAGGCAGCTGTATTTCTTTGTCTGGAATATCAGATTCAGATTTAGCCACAAAACGAAATCAGTTATGAAGAAGCTGTTGCAGTCTTGTGCTTGAGACCCTTCCTCGTTACCGAGAAGCTGTGTATGAATCTTGCATATTTACTGTTCAGACTATGCAGATGTTGATTCCTGATCCCTTGTTGTCTGGATCCTCTGTTTGCCAGTACCATTTCCTGCTCCTTCACCTGTTGGCTGCTTAGAACTCTAGTACCTGCCTGCCACTTTTACGTGTGCTGAATTTTTTGGATATATATCTTGTAAAAATTAGTCAATAGTTATTTACCTTGGTATCTTTACTTTGAGTAGCCTCTCTAGCTTAGACATCTGGCCTGACTTACTTTTCCATACAGACACACACACAGATGTGCACACACACATACATAGACACAAATACTTGCAAACATACTACTTAAACTTTTAGTCCCAGTTCCCTCAATCTACTCTGTCTTACTGCTACTCAAGTACTAAAAATGTGACAACTTCACAAAAGTGGAAGAGCAATAGTCTGAAGAATTTCGAGGGACTCAAAGGCTCCCAAGGTTGTACGGAGTCCATATTCAGCTATTGCACTCCTGCAAAATGCACATCTTCCCACACTAAAGAACTGAAATTTCCCAGGAGCCTTAGCATCCATCTGCACTGTGGAGGTAAAATCAGTGTTCCACTCTTTATCCACAAGAGTCTACTCTTTTGTTTACTTCCTCTGTGCCCCCAAGAAAATATGGTTAGAGGTTCAAATCAAATCTATTATAGCAGAAGAGCTAATCCAACACATGATGGCTTTAAATGGTTACTCATCTGGTCATGTGCTAAATCTCTATTTCCCAATTCACCTTCCAGTAATCTTCCTTGACCCATGCTCTGATAATTCAGCTGAAATCCTGGATCTTCCTCCTTCACAATCATGAAATGGCCTGACCAGTAACTTTAAAAAAAAATCTCACAAAATGTGTGTTTTTAGTTTCTGTATCCTACCATTACATTCATATTTACCTTGAAAATTTTCCTTCAAAGCTTATTTAAAAAAAAATATATCAATGAGAGTTAGGCATTACTTTCCAATATATTTACAGATTATGAAAAAAGAAAAATTTAGAAATAGATGTCTGAAAATAAAATAAGTGTGTAATAGCAAATAAAAAAGCAAAATCAGAGCAGAGGAATTAGTAACTATATTTTATATTTTGTTACATATAAATTTTAGACCTCATTGGCCACATCAATAGTACGTAACATTTGTCAAGCCCTTAGCTTCACAGCCAGATATTGTTCTAGGTACTTTATGAATATTACCTCATTTAATATTCTCAAAAATCCTATGAAGTAAATATCATTTTTATCCTCATTTTACAGATGAAGTAACTGAGGCTAGACAGCTTAAGCAACTTACCCAAAGTTACACAGGTAATTAGTGCTGGAGCCAGGATTTAAGCCCAGGAAATCTTGCTACAAAATCTTTCTCTTGGCTATGTGGCTCATGTCTGCTTAGCTATTCAGTTTTTAACTCTGTCTTTTCTCCAGTGCATCTCAAACTCCTAACCATTCTGAAATTTATTCATCTCTTCACTCACTCTTTTTTCCAGGTGGTCATCATTACAAGTTCATACTTCTGTCTGTTTTGTTTAAATTAACAAATCTACCTTTGTCTCCAAGCAACTGTTTACATTAAAGTCATACTCTTCTGCCCCCTGGCGATAATTTGTTGAAATCAATTCTGATGTTTTCATAAATTTATTTAGCAAATTCAATAGCAGCTACATTTAGTGATTTTGATCATAAAGTATGCTAGTATGCTTAAAAATTTCGTGTTTAATTTACATTTTTAGAAACTAGCTAAACTTAACACAAGACTACTAGTGTAGTATAGATATTATGACATTAAGAAGCATTATTGAAAAGGACAATATATTTGAGTTGTAAGGTTGGCTTCAGAAACAGTTAGTGTGCAACTATAGATGGATGAATGAATGGAAGGATAGATAGAAGATGAACTCCATGAAATTTAAAGTGGATTGCTATTGGTTGTGTCTTCTTGGAAGCAAATTCTGAGATGGAATTTACTGTTAAGGAATGTTATTAAGGAGTAAATCTCAGATTATCACTTGTGGAAAAGATTGTGTGGATCATAACAAATTATAGATAACATTTCAAAGAATCGGAATTCCAGAAGACTTAATTGTGCTCATATGGAACCTGTATATAGACCAAGGGGTAGTTGCTCAAACAGAACAAGGGTATACACATGGTTTAAAATTAGGAAAGGTATGTGTCAGGGTTTTATTCATTCACTGCAAATAATCTGAGAAGTTATACTACATGAAGAAGAATGTAGTATCAGAATTGGAAGAAGAGTCATTAACAACCTGTGATAATGAACTTGGTTGCTCAAAGTGAAGAGACTCAAGCTGATTCATCCTTTGCTTAGTTGTTTTTTCACATGCCCTATCATGCTTCCCTTTCTGCTTAGAGCACTTCCTCAATAAATCACTTGCACAAGAATACCTCTCAGCCTTTGCTTCTAGGGAACCTGACTTCAAACAATTGGAATTGGGAATGGTGATGGGAAGTAGTCTTCAAAGATGAGAATCCTCAAATTGTATTCCTTGCTGGTTTGACAGCAATGAAGACTCCATCACTGTTGCTGATGGAGTATTGACAGTCCCTGACATGCCTTAAGAGCCCTGGTAGCACAGTGGATAAGCACATAGCTGCTAAACGAAAGGTCAGTAGTTCAGAAACACCAGCCACTCTGTAGTAGAAAGATGTGGTAATCTCATTCCATAAAGATTTACAACCTTTCAAACCCTATGGGACAGTATTACTCTTTCCTATAGGGTTGCAATAGCATGGAATCAACTCAACAGCAGTAGAGCATCGACAGTGCAACTTGGTTGGGATACAGGTGGGAAAGGCTGCATTACCTTGTTCACTGTCAGAGGCATTAGGCAAATTTGACCATGAAACCATGGGTTGAGTAGCTGTTTCTAAGCACCATATATCCATAGAGTCAGAAATGAAATATCCAGATTTAATAAACAGCAATTTAAGGAAAATTATGAAAGTCAGAGGACCATCTCAGGCACATTTAAAGAGACAATCATCTCCTGCTGGCAGAAGGAAGACAAGACTTAACTGTAAGAGTGACAAAATTCTAAAGGCTGAATTCTTGTGCTCAGCAAGTCTTCTATGCCAAAGTCAGGCTAGGAGGACTGGAACTCTGAGAGGTTGGATGAAGATACCCGGATATCCACAGCATCACATCCACAAACCTCTTAACTTCTCTACTAACTTCCAACCAAAAAGGCCTAATTAAATTCTACTTCCTCTCTTTCCTCGTGTTGATTTCCACTGGAATCCTCAGGTCCCTTTAAAGACCCCGAGTAATCTCAATAACAATAAATGCACTAATAAACAGGGATCACCCTGCTATAGCCTTCACTCAACTTCCATAGTTACATAAAAAAGAACCACCAGCGTAATCTTCATAAACTATACACACAACATCACTATTAAAAACTAATCAATTATCCAAATTACTCAAATCAAAATCTATTACCCCACCACCACTTATCAATCACAAAACTATACCAACCTCCATTAACAAACCTAAACATAAAGACCCAGATATTTGAATTTTGTTGTTGTTGTTGTTAGGTGCTGTTGAGTCGGACCCAACTCATAGCGACCCCTCCTTGAGTTTCCAAGGCAGTATCAATACAGAAGTAGATTGCCCAGCCAACCTTCCGAGGAGTGGCTGGTTTGAACTGCCAGCCTTCTAGTTAGTAATTGGAAAGAGTTTTGATATGCAACACTTTTCTATGACACAGGATTTGATATCCTGGGAAAGATTCAATGTACAGGTTTAATACACTGCTGGTACAGTTTTGGAAGATTGGAAAAACTGATGGCCCACATTAATGAAACAGTGGTACTAGGTTGCTATGATGGACTGAGATCAAAAGGCTCAAAAAAATGAGTGTGAAAGAATGGTTCCACTCTGTGTGAATAGAAAACTGACCAGCTGATTGTGTTTCTCCAAGTCTAGAGGATAGTCAGTTTTCCCAGGGTTATTAGGAACGCATTGTCATCTGGAACATTAATATGGCTCAGAATCTCAATGGTGGCTGTCCTTTGAGGTCTAATTACTGACATGAGAAGATGCTGTTACAGAGCTGGGCTCCCTATAGCAATGAGGAAACTAGGATCTCAGAGCAGCAGAGGCCAGGTCTGAGGTTTAACTGTAATACACAGCAAGGTCAGGATGGCAACCACAAAAGCCCCCACAGAGAGCTAACAAACATGGCCAACAGGATATGCTGTTCCTAGGGAGAAGAGATGGTCAGTCAATGAATGTATTTCTTAAAACACAAAATTAAAAATGACAAAGAATGAATGAGCAGATGGCTAAATTCACTGTGTCAAAAGAAAGTCACAAATTCTTGCTTAGTTTCCAAACCTGAGCCAGTTCCCAGACGCAGAACTGAAGGAGAGAGCAGATCATTGTGCGTAAGGACAAGGAGTCAGCAGAGTAAGTGTATAAAATGGTGCAGCACTTCTCAAACTACTGGTTTCAGGACATTCTTTATACTCTTTCACAAAATTATTAAGCACTCCAAGGATCTTTTGTTTATGTGGATTAATTACATCTACTGATTATATTTATCATATTAGAAATTAAAACAGAAATTTTCAAAATATGTATTAATTCATTCATTTAAAATGAACAAAAATAAATCATTATGTGTTAACACAAATAACATATTTTAATGATGAATAACTATTTTTTTAAAAAAATGTAGTCAAATAAATGACTGGTACAAATTTTTACAATTATCTTTACTGTCTGGCTTAATATAAGACAACTGGATTCCCATATCTGTTTCTATATTGAAATTGTTGGAACACGTTGGTTTGGTTGAAGTACGTGAAGAAAAGTCACCTTCGTACAGATATGTAGTTGGAAAGAGGAATATTTAAATGACTTTTTAAGAGAATTGTGGATGTTCTTCTCTGATACTACACCAAAGCTAGACAAATGGTAGTTTCAAAGTGGAATCTGAATCAGAATGTTTCATATTCTTTTAAATTAATATCTTTTGGTTTATTTTGCATTTTGAGAGAATTGTTTATCCAGGGGTAATGAGTGTCATCACTCATTACTCTTTTTGAAAATATTGGATCATTCAGATCTGGAGGCAGGAGTGCATGGGGGGGAAGGACACAGAGAAGAGGTAACTATGGGGAGGAAGTGGGAGGAGACCTGTTGCATTGTGGGAAATTGCAGTCAATGTCATGAGACAAAGTGTATGTGAGCTGCTGTATGGAAAGCGAATTTGCTCTGTAAACTTTCACCCAAATCACAATAAAAATTTTAAAAAGAAAATATTGAATCATTTAATTATCTAAATCTTCTCAATGTTTACACATTTTATTATATACTATAAAAAAAAGATCATATTTATCAACACAATTACCAATATCATTAAAAATAAGTTGAAGGATCTAGGAAGCGTTCAGGCTCATGGTGATGGGTACAAGATTTCCAAAACTCTAATTTTTGACTTGAAAGTTCAAAGTTTATCATTAGCAGTCAATATATAAATTGTTTTTTTGAAAGTACTACATTTATATCATTCACT